AGTATTCGATAAAGAAATATTATGCACTGTTGCTACAAATAAATCCTTACAATTCATCCAATCATCAAAGTTATCCAAAAAAAATAGGAATATGCAACTTTGCTAACTTAAAGTTACTAATATTATAATTTCCTGAAACATTTGGCGCATTAGCCACATTCAATGAATCTTCACATTCATCCACATTCAAGTTTTGATTCTGAAGTTTCAAACTAAAATCCTTCAATTCAAACTCTTTGATTTCTGATTGCTCCTCTGGTAACTGAGCATCAAATTTATCAAAATCTGAATAAATCCTTTCCAAGCACTCCAAATGCAAAATTACTTCCTTTTTAGATAAATCGGAAGTAGTGCTATTCTGAAGCCTCGTAAAGCCCACTTTCGCCCTACCACACAATTTAATTATACAGTCAAAAGTCGTTAATCCAGACTCGTCGAGACTTTGGCGATTCAGGATTGTTGATTTTTCCGGATTATAGATCATCAGTTTAAATCTGGTAAAATGGCATGCAGAAATTATAAAATTAAAAATATGAAACCGTAATTTACGAATAAAGAACAATTATGATCTAAAGGGTCAAAATTTACAAAAAAAGCTTAATATTTATTTGTTTACTTTATTAAACATTTCTTTCAATGTAAGTTGTTTAAGTTGCTTTGTTTTTTATGTGATAATACATTCTCTTTAATTCTACAAACAGACATAATTTCTTGTTCAGTTACAAAGTTCCGCTGTTCAAGTCCTATAATTGCTGTGTTGAGAATACCGACTAATTTGTCAATAGAAATTTTTTCGTTTTCAATAACCTCTGTCACTTTCTTTGCTATCGGAAGCGAATTATAATGACGAGGCATTTGATTTGAGGCATTTGATTTAAATCATATCAAAGACGGAGTACATCCAGATGAAATACTACATTGAGTAAGCAATTATAAGCCAAATAAAAACATCTGCCCTTAAGATAAGGATAGTGCTGACAGATCAACTTCCAATTCATTGCGACCTGTGGCAGCGTTAAAGATAAACAAAGTTTAGATAAACAAACGTTAAAGTTTAGATAAACAAAGGATATGCCTTTATCCATTTTTTGCAGCAATTCCACTTTTTGTTTAATGGACTCCGAAAGATACTTTCTCTTTGTATATATCCTTTACATATTAGTAAATATATATTGGAAATTGTATTTGACATAATCGAAAGTTCAAGTTTACTTTTATAAAATTGCTGTAACAGTCTTCAAAAAATAATAATCCTGATCCAATTCGAAGATTAAGGAACAACGCAATCTGCAACATTAACTGAAATAGATAATTAGATAATTTTAGCTTAGCTTATCCCGTCTATTATACATTAAACGCGCATTCGTAAACGTACTTTGCACACGCGCACATGCAAATTCGCAGCGGCAAAGGTCTTACGCGCATGCGTTAACGCGCCGCATGCGCAGAAAATTTGTAGCTTTGAGGTCCAGATTATAGATCATTCCGGATTATGGGTGTCTGAATTAACGACTTTTGACTGTAGTAGTTTGATCCATAATAAGTAATTGAAGTATCAAAGTTCAAAATGAAAACAATAAAAAAATATGAAACCTCAAAAATCAAATTAGGTGTAAATCAAAAACAAATTCACTTTTCTGTCTTTTAATTGCTGGTGAATTTCCAATCTCATCGCTGTGCCTCCAATTTATTTACATTCCTGTATTCAAATAGCGCCAAAATCAAAAAAATAGTTTCACTTTGAAATAACTTTAATAAATTCAATTACAGTCTAAAGTCTTTTATCATTTTTTTCATATTATAGATCATCAATTTAAATCTGGTAAGATGGCATGCAGAAATTGTAAAATTAAAAATATGAAACCGTAATTTATGAAATAAAGAGCACTAAAGGGTATCAAAATTTACTCAAAAAGAGCTTAATATTTATTTGTTTACTTTATTAAACATTTCTTTCAACGCGTGCAGTCGTAAAGCATACATTGCACATAGTCGAAATTGGAAAATTGCAACCAGAAAACTCTTTGATGTGTATTCGTGATATAATGATGAGGAATTTGATTTAAATCATATTAAGGACTGAGTACAACGAGATGAAATTCTACATTTAGTAAGGAATTATAAGCCGAATAAAATAAAAACATCTGCCCTGAAGATAAGGATAGTGCTGACAGATCAACGTTCAGTTCATTGAGGGCAGTGATGTTCCCCCCCTTCCCGCAGAGCAGCGTGAAATTGATAAACAGATATTGGAATGGTTAGAGAAACAAAGGATATGCCTTTATCCATTTTTTGCACCAATTCAACTTTATGTTTGATGGACATCGAAACATACTTTTTTGCATTTTATCCTTTGGGCAGCTCCAGAATCAGAAATTCTTTTTGACATAATTGAAAGTTCAAGCTTACTTTTATAAAATTGCTCTATCAGTTTGCAAAAAATAATAAGCCGGATCCAATTCAGGATGATTAAGGAACAATGCAATCTGCAACATTAACTGAAATAGATAATTAGATAATTTTAGCTTAGCTTATACTGTCCGTTATACATTAAACATGCATGCGTAAACGTATTGTGCGCATGCGCAGAAAGTTTGTAGCTTTGAGATCCAGATTAAAGACTTTTGACTGTACTCTGTTTATACACACCAAATCGTAAACATTTAGTAATAATCCACTAACACAGTTAAGTTTTAAAATAATTATTAGAACAGTTATAAATCAGCTACATTCTAGCAACCAAGTTCTACCGACGACAAATACAAAGCATGCTGCTGACGCAGGGCAACAAAAAAGTGTAAATTAATTCGAGAGGCATGGAAGTAAACAGGTTGTTTTATACCTATCATGAATCGAGTGAATGGCAAGGACATCAGACAATGAGGAGAATGTCCTACTCTGTCAGAAGGCAATTTGAGTACGAATACTTGAGCAATAGCCCAACAACTGGATTTGTCCCAACTGTCTGGAAACCAAATGTATTTTTACCTTCTGCAATGCATCCAGGCATCTGTTGATTATCTACCCAAGAGGAATTTTGGTACTTGGTATCTTCAACAGAGTGTGGCAAATAGCACATATGCTACATCCATATTGTTCACAGATAAGGCAAGAGAGGGAGCTTTCAATCATCGTAACACCCATTTGTGGGCATTTGGATATCTACCATGATACATGAACACATGCAGCTTAAAACTGTTTCTTTGTCAATGTTTAGACCAACATTGTTGATTACCTCCTTGTACTATAGCTTCTGCCCCCTACCTTATACAGTCAAAAGTGGTTAATTCGGACACCCATAATTCGGAATGATCTATAATCCGGACCTCAAAACTAAAAACTTTCTGCGCATGCGCAGCGTTGACACATGCGCATAGGCATTTACGCGTGCGCGTAAGACCTTTTACGACTGCGCATATGAGTGTGCGCAAGTGCAGAATACGTTTTCGCGTGCGCGTTTTATGTATGACGGACGTATAAGCTAAAATTATCTAATTATCTATTTCAGTTAATGTTGATGATTGCGTTGTTCCTTAATTTTCGAATTGGATCCGGCTTATTATTTTTTGCAGACTGTAAGAGCAATTTTATAAAAGTAAGCTTAAACTTTCGATTATATCAAATAGAATTTCCGATATATATTTGTTAATATGTAAAGGATCTAAAGCGAAAATATGTTTTGAAATCCGAAATCTGTTTATTAATTTCACGCTGCTCGGCGGGGGGGATCGCCGCGGCGGGCGCGTAATGAATTGGAAGTTGATCTGTCAGCACTATCCTTATCTTCAGCGCAGATGTTTTTATTTTATTTGGCTTATAATTCCTTACCAAATGTAGTATTTCATCTCGATATGCTCCGTCTTTGATATGATTTAAATCAAACTCCTCGTCATTATAATTCGCTTTCGATAGCGAAGAAAGTAACAGAGTTTATTGAAAACGAAAAAATTTCGATTGACAAATTAGTCGGTATTCTCGACACAGCAATTATAGGACTTGAACAGCGGAACTTTGTAACTGAACAGAAATTATGTCTGTTTATAGAATTAAAGAGAAAGTATTATCACATGAAACGAAGCAAAACTTAAACAACTTACATTGAAAGAAATGTTTAATAAAGTAAACAAATAAATATTAAGCTTTTTCTTTTTGCAAATTTTGATACCCTTTAGATCATAATTGTTCTTTATTTCATAAATTATGGTTTCATATTTTTAATTTTAGAATTTCTGCATGCCATCTTACGAGATTTAAACTGATGATCTATAATCCGGAATCGCTGAAGTCCCGACGAGTCCGGATTAACGACTTTTGACTGTAGTTATAAAAAATTATCATACATTTCTAGCTATAAAAATAATTTATAGAAGGCTGCATATTTATTTTTAATTGCACTTGTTGGATCTACATATGATGTCTCTTTCATAAGCATAAAAAATGACAGTTATTTACCCCCCAAAAAAAACCAAAGTTGTTTTAAGGTGGCACCAAAAGCAATTTTTACATAAAGTAATCATGAGCTTATGGACAGATAAACCTAAAGGGCATTTTATTACAGGAAATCATTTGGATCTTTTTCCTAAATAGTGTATAATGAGTGGTTCTGTTTTATTATCTTTCTATTTTAATATGACGATGCACAGGTGTCATTTGTTAGATTTTCACTTTTTTTTTAATTGGTGTGTGTGTGTGTGCATTTCTGATTGATAAATAATGTCTGAAATGATAGCTTTTGAATATCAAATTTTTTGCTACTAAGATAATCAGTGAATAAAATGACTAATATAATTTATTTGGTGTCAGCTGTAAATCATTTGCTGTACATGCATTTTTATTTATTTTTTAATCTGAATAAATTACTAATGTTGTACTAAAAGGCTGGCTAATATTATTAATAAAACTATGAGTTGTTATTTTTAATGTCCATCAGTTTGTAACATTATTAATATAGTATTTGGATTTTAATATATAGCACAATTCTAATTTTTTTCTCATTTTAGGTTGTATCGGAATTAGAAGATAAAATGCTTGAAGGTGGAAAAATTGTTGATTATCATGGTTGTGATTTTTTCCCCGAAAACTGGTTTGACATAATATTTGTACTGACTACTGATAATACTATTCTTTATGACCGACTTGTACGCAGGTAAATTAATATCTGTATTTTTTATAATTAAAATTGAATTTCTTGTAATTCAAAATATATTTTTTATTTTGTAGTTAACGTAATAACTTAAAATTTGCTGTTTTATTTGAAATTTTATATTATTCCATTGATGCTAACATTTGCTTAGAACTTAGCATGAATTACCTTGGTTATTTTGTGCCCGGCATTTTGTTTTTCACATTCTGAGCTATGCAACTGCTTTAATCCAGTCCTGAAATTTGTAGTCCCTTAGTATATATTACCTTGTCATAAAAATGTATTACTGTCATACTTTCTGTAGTAATTTAACTGTCATAGTAATGATTTCAAAAGTTTCGAAAAAAGTAAAATAAGCAGTTATGTATATCTAGTTGGATAATGCTGTTTAAATTCAGTTTTTCACAAGCAGATAAAACGTGCTATGCTGCTTGGAGGTTTCAATTATGTCGTATGTATATATGTAAGATATAACAAAATATGATAGTTGCTTTTAAAACATAATTGGCGACCTCAAAATTCACATTCTAGATTTGGTGCTGTCCCCCTAAATTCATCTGTTTCCGTTCTAACTTGACACATTCGTGGAGAAAAAATGCCAGAGCTTCGCCATGTAGGCACTCTGAAAGAAGTAAAGACTTCTCATTATCGAGAATAGTTTTAGTTTGGCATTTTTTCTCAAACAATAAGAAAAATGTGTCAATGAGTTTTCATTATTGGAGCCATCGAAAATGGTGAAAATGGTCGCAATTTAAATTTTTTTCTGTAGATTTAATTTGGGATCTTATCTTCATGGTTAATTTGTACTTTTTTCCGATGAATTTGCGCCGATACTTTAAAATAAATTTTGAAGCACCAAATTAGAATATTGAATCACATTAATTCTACACTGGAAATTTAAAAAATTTCACATCACTACAATTTTTTCACATTTCAAAAACACCATATTTGAAGATTTTACAATACGTGATGGCATACTCGTAGATGCTTTTTGCACTATAACACATAACGCTTGGTATGGGCACACACATCATTAGAAACATTCAGATTTCACTGTTGAGATCAAACATCACGTCGCGTTAACTGACGAAAAATGCACAGACAGCTTTAGAAGTATCCAGATGTCATCGCATGATTTTTAAAATTTTTTCACTCCGCATGTTAGACGAATTCTTTTCACCTACGCAAATCACAGCACCCGAAGATCTTCACGTCAGAAGCAGACGTCATCACGTTGTAGCGATCGATAAACTTTCAACACATTGCATTAAATTTAAGTCACTTTTTGGATTTTTTCTTTCACAGTCCAGTCACTGGAAATTGTTGGGAGCTCGTTGCGGTATTCACCGCACTTTAGCAAAGACGGTGAAAAGCGAAACACAACTGATCACTTGATACTTTGAACTGAAGCATTTTGGGGTTGCGGCAGCATGTAGACATCCTGTCGACTCTTTAATTAGTCGTAATTTCGAAGCACAGTCACGGCTAAGTGGTTCGCTGAAAGGAAGGAGTTGAAACCACCTAAGTTCAGTTAATTATCATCTTTATTTCTAGATTTCCAGACACACTAGAATAATTCCTCGTAGACAGCATGCTCTTTAATCATACAATTACAATAACTTCATATACACATTGTATCATTAAAGAGTATGTTGTCTATGAGGAATTATTCTAGTGTGCCTGGAAATCTAGAAATAAAGATAATTGGCCGAATTTAGTTTGGTATCAACTCCTTCCTCTTGCCGAAGCACTCAGCCATCATGACTGTGCTTCAAAATTATGACATATGCTCATTCTTATACATACAGTTCTTAAATAAAATGAAAATGTTGATCTGCGACTTTTTGTCTTAATTTGTGTTTACTCTCCTCTACAGAAAGTTCAATAAAATGTCTTGTGTTTGAGATTTCCACTACCAGAATTTAGTTGTTAGACTGCATTAGTGTACTTTGTATAGAATTAAATGTAAAAAGTGACATCATCCAGAATACTGAAGCTTTTGTTATAATGCGACATCTTGAGACCATTTTCACATTTTTGCATTTTAAACAAAGAAGCTTATTTCATTAATCAAACAGATTTCATATCATGGGACAACCATCTTATTTGCAGGAAATTCTCGTCCTGTGTTCTGTCTGATCAGTCTGTTGGTTCTACTAATTTTAACATTTTCAGATATTTAAAGTATCCAGAATGATGAGACGACCAGTCTGTAACAGTTAACCAACAAGGCAGCATTGCTTCCAGAAATGCAGGAAAATTATATGCATTCTGATTCATTTTAATTTTCAAAGTGACTACATAATATTTTGCATATTAAATATAACTGTCATACTAGCACTTTAATAACCTTTTTGAACTAAAGACATAGCTGCCAACTCTCCTGGTTTTTCATCTCATCTCCCTGTTTCTCGGTTGATGACCGAATCTCCCAGTTTTTTAATTTTTAGCCTTTGCTATGGAAAACGTTTCCCAGGAATATATGAACTTTATTGAATTAACCAGTGAAGACACACTATTAAAAAAATAAAAATCACCGGCAATGTCCCCCCATAATCGAAATGTTTAGGTCCATCAGTAGCTGCCTCCAAGGTCATGTTCGATACATCTCATGTGGAAACAGCAAATTCCAAGAATTTATTGTTGTTTAAAGAACAGTTTTGGGGTGTGCGGACTCCCCATACATGCTTTCATTTTGCTGGTTTTCAGTGTGAGCCATGGCGTGTTCAAGTCGCTCTGTTCTGTCTTTTTCTCATTTGACATATGTTCAAGAATTGAAAAGACTTCAAAAATTATTAGAGGAGGTTTCGTCAGATGAAGATTCTATAGAACAAGAATTAGGAGATTTGGATAACGAAGATATATTTAGTGATCATCAGTCTGAATCAGAAGAACAGCAACTCTTCAGAAGACATTCCTTGTTATCAAAATGGCAGAAAGAACCCTTTTGCGTTCAAAGATGCATGGCGTCCCATAATATCATAAAAAAATTGCCTGGCAATACACATATATCTAAAGATGTGGCTTCACCCATTGATGCATAGAACCTAGTATTTGATGACAATGATTGAAATGATTGTGAAATGCTCTAATATTTATGTAAAAAATATTTTGGGAAATTTTAAAAGAGAAAGAGATGCAAAAATTGTAGGAAAAGGAAGAGTTTCTTGCTTTTTTAGGACTCTTATACATAGCTAGATCACACAAATCTTTCCATTTAATTGTTAGGGATTTATGGGTGACTGATGGCACAGTATTTGATATTTTTTGTAAAACTGTGAATTATAAGTGTTTTCTTTTCATTCCTCGTGCCTTATGATTCGATGACTTCGGAACACAGGATGACAGAAGAAAGAGTGATAAATTAGTTCCAACAAGAAGTCTGTTTACAAATTTTGTCAAGAATCATCAGAAATTATATCATGTAGGGGAACATGTGACTTTGGATGAAAAGCTAGAACCTTTTTTAGGATGATGCTCCTTTCGGCAATATATGCCTAAGAAACATGCACGATATGGTATAAAGAAGATATTTGCTGTGGTTGATGCTAGAACCTTCTATATTTTTAACATGAAAATTTACGCAGGTCAGCAGCCAGATGAGCCATACAAGAAAGTCAACAGTTCTTGTGAAATAGCAAAGTATATTCTAGCTACATTATACAATTCTAGAAAAAACATTGCTACAGGCAATTGGTATACCAGTTATGAATTGGCCAATTTCTTAAGAAAAATAAAATTTCTATCATTGGAACAATATTTAAAGACAAGAAGATTATCCCACCTGAAATTGCATCAAATAAGAATAGAGAACCCTCTTTGGGTTTCAAAAGGATTTAATGCTACTTTCTTATATGGCTAAAAAGAACAAATGTATTAATCTTTTGTCAATTGTGTATGATAATGAAACCACGAGATATTTGAAAAAATCCAAAGTAATTGTGTTGTACAACATGCTGAAAGGAGCCGTTGATATAGTCGATGAAATGGGTGTCGCGTATTCTGTGACTAGAATATCAAACCCATGGCCTATGGTAATATTTTTTCACTGTTAAATATTGCCAGTATAAATTCAAGGATCTTGCTTTTATATACTAAAACTCTACTGGAGAAATTCGGGAAATGGAGGCACTTCTTTAAGGATTTGGCCTTTGCACTTTTAGATCCTCATTTGAAATCACGACAGAAACAGAAGGAACACAATGAAAATTCTCCTGATGAAAAGAAAGAAATTGACACCGAAGAAGAAAGTTACAAAGAAAAGAAAATTGTTATCGTAGATGTTACATGTGCTGAAGGGAAAAAGAAAATCAAAAGCTAAATGTGTGAAGTGTAAATATATATATATATATATATATATGTCAAGAGCACTGTCAAATAGAAGCTGCATGTATAAGCTACAAAATATAATAATCCTTCTTAAGCTTAATTGATTTGAAAATTAATTGTATAAATCATTCTCCATGTGATAATTTTGAATAATTTGGATTATAATTGCATTCACAAATAAAAATTTCTCATAGAAATCAGTGATTCCTAGTCATCTGAAAAAAAGTAAGTACTTTTGATTTATTTGTTATTCATTTTAAAATTATCATTATTTTTAAGCTGTTTTATATAATAAATGTTGTAATTAGTATAGAATGCATTCTTTTACTGAATTGTAATAATATGTTTTATTTTTACATAATTTGATAGCTTGGGGTGTCAACACACCTCAATAGCGATCTTGTGTTACATAATACAGTGCCATGTCCTTCCGCTTAATGAAACTTAAATTAGACAAATTGGATTCCTCTGTAAGGTTCCAATCATATTATGTTTCGGCTATGCGGAACTTGACATCGAAAAGGACAATTCTCAGAACCCGCACACTTCCAGGAAATACATGTAGCTAGGTTACCATTCTCACTTACTACAAAGACTTTAATGCCAAACAGTAATCGATTATTGCTCAAATCGGGATCACGGAATCCTTCATAAGCAGAACTTTCGTCCGATTGGTTGTCTACCCGGGACCCGAGACATTTTTGGTGAGGTTTGAAAAAAATCCCGCATAGCCGCAACATTTCTTCCGTAGCTGGGCGGGACTCTTTTTTTTTTTTTTTTTCTAGGAATCTTCCCGTTTAAACCAGTGCTACCAGAATCCCGTTTCTCAGAAAAGTCCCGTGTAGCAGGGACTGTAGCCATGTGTGATAACCTCTTAATGATTTTTAGTAAAATTCTTATTAAATTTTATTTCATCTGAATTGTATTTTTTCTCATTAAATTTTATTTGAGTTGCTTGAATTATCTTAATCTACTGTAGACATTAGACATTTGTAGATTTTTATTTAAATTCAAGCAGTGTTTAATCATTTAATACTTGTATTTGATGATGTTTAATTTTATTGTGTATGGTACATTAACTAAGCTTATCCACTCAAGTACCTATGTACATTGATTGTTCATTTTATTTTCATCATACATAAAAATATAAGAAAATTTTAAAAATGAAATTTATGCAATTAAATAATAATATATTTTACATCAGAATTGAATTACGAATAGTTCATATTAAGTGTATGCCCCCCAGACAGTAGAGTGGTTAGGGGAGCCTAGCTGCATTACCAAAAGGCCTGGTTTTGAATCCCAGAGAAGGCATGGATGTAAAATTGTCTGCCCCTATAGGAAGTAACAGTAACCACCTATTAGGTACCTCCACAATAAAACTGTCACCACTTCTTCCGGGTAAATATTAAGAGCATGAAAGTCAGTTTGAAGTTCCTTTCAAATGGTGTCATTGTGGAGTGGAGGGTGGTAACCAGTGGCATAGCTGGGAGGGCAAGGGAAGAGATCTGTTTTTGGGTGCAGCATCAAGGGAGCAACAAACTGATGCTAAGAAAATGTAGAATTGCATGTTTTCATTTCTCGGCAAGCAGGAGGGGTGTAAAATCTTCAATTGTCCTTGGCGTTGAAACCCCCAACTATGTGAAAATTATATGCTATTCCATATGTCTCATTTTTCATATAGGAAGTCTAATATTTCATATTTCTTGGTACTCAGTCCCCCTTTTAGACACTGAAAGACTTTAATAACTCATTATAACTCAATATATTATATAGATTATATATTACAAATTCTATTGTTTTAACCTCAAAGCCATTGCTAGGGCTTTCAACGTCTAAGGACAAATGAAGATTTTGCACTGCTCCTGTTTGCCAAGAAGTGAAAACATGTTATTCTAAACTTTCTTAGCATCAATTTGGTGCTGCACAAGGAGACAGATGTCCCCCCTTGCCTCCAGCTATGCCTCTGGTTACCACCCTGCCCCGAAAAACGTATGCAATTCTTATGCTGCATATTTGAAAAATATAGCTATAGGTTTTATTTCCTCACTTAGCTCTTTATTTTCTAAAATGTATCTTATTATCAGAGGTACTAATTTAGCCATGAAATAAATGCCATTTCTGTCCCCACCACAAAAACATTTTTTTTGACGTTTTTTGAAAACCAACTCTTTGGCTCTCAAGCTTATTACAGTCAAAAGTTGTTAATCCGGACTCGTCGGGACTTTGGCAATTCCAGATTATAGATCATCAGTTTAAATCTGGTAAGATGGCATGCAGAAATTACAAAATTAAAAATATGAAACCATAATTTATGAAATAAAGAACAATTATGATCTAAAGGGTATCAAAATTTAAAAAAAAAAAAAAAAAAAAAAAAAAAGCTTAATATTTATTTGTTTACTTTCTTAAACATTTCTTTCAATGTAAGTTGTTTTAGGTTGCTTCGTTTCATGTGATAATGCTTTCTCTTTAATTCTATAAAAACAGACATAATTTCTTGTTTAGTTACAAAGTTCCACTGTTCAAGTCCTATAATTGCTCTCTTGAGAAAACCGACTAATTTGTCAATCGAAATTTTTTTGTTTTCAATAACCTCTGGGTCACTTTCTTTACTATCGGAAGCGAATTATAATGACGAGAACTTGATTTATATCATATCAAAGACGGAGTACATCGAGATGAAATACTACACTTATTAAGGAATTATAAGCCAAATAAAATAAAAACATCTGCCCTGAAGATAAGGATAGTGCTGACAGATCAACTTCCAATTCATTGCGCACTGTGGCGTGAAATTGATAAACAGATTTCGGATTTTGAAACATACTTTCGCTTTGTAGATCCTTTACAAATATATATCGGAAATTCTATTTGACATAATCGAAAGTTCAAGCTTATTTTTATAAAATTGCTCTAACAGTCTGCAAAAAATAATAAGCCGGATCCAATTCGAAGATTAAGGAACAACGCAATCTGCAACATTAACTGAATTAGATAATTTTAACTTAGCTTATACCGTCCGTTACACATTAAATGTGCATGCGCACAAGCATATTCACAGCCGTAAAGGTCTTACATGCACTCATAATGCCTGCGCGCATGCATGAATGCGACGCATGCGCAGAAAGTTTGTAGCTTTGAGGTCCGGATTATAGATCATTCCGGAGTATGGGTGTTCGAATTAACGACTTTTGACTGTAGTTGTATTTCAGAAATATACTTGAGGGGGGGAAAGTGCAAAAATTACCATATCTCGCATAATAGTCACACTTTTTTTGCCAATTTTTCATTGTGAAAGTCTAGGTGCGACTATCATGCGGGGGGGGGATCTATTACACAATATTGTACGCTTTTGACATTTTTTTCTGCTTCAAAACGGGGGTGCAACTATTATGCAAGTAAACACAGTAATCAAAAAAGATGTCTGATTCATATTTGTACTAAATACAAGAATAGGGTGTTAAGTTTTTAATAATCTTAAAACTAGGCATAGTTGCCGATCTGTTTTGTACTATTTTCATTCACTCGGAACATTTTAAATCAAATATGTAAGCCATTGGCAGCTGAATAAGAAAATAATTAAGTCCAAAAATTACCAGTTTCTAAGATGATTAGTTAATTACACTATTCTCAGACTCCATAGCATAAAAAATAAGAGCATAATTAACATGTTATGAAGGTCACAATTCAAGCAGAGGGAAAATTAACATAACCATAATGGGTAATTTTCATAATTTATTAACTGGTTAATATTTATACCACTTAATCTGTTTGTTCCATGTATTTGTATCTTGGTGCATAATTATTCTGTTTATTTTCGATTAAATAATGATATATATAAACAGTTTTTTTTTTTTTTTTTTTCCTTACAGAGGGTACAGTGGTAAAAAATTAGAAAACAACATACAATGTGAGATATTTCAGACATTGCTAGATGAAGCTAAGGAAGCTTATAACCCATCTATAGTTTTCAAGTTAAATAGCAATACTCCAGAAGATATGGAATCTAATATTGAGGAAATTTGCAGATGGATTGAAATATATAAAAATAATCATGCTAATGGATAATCTAGTGACACTTGTGTGTATTATTTAGGAATTTTATGTGTATATATGTATAGTTGATTTGATGCTTAGGAAAAAAAGCAACTTGTTATGTTTGTAACTTGATGTTTTTTAGTCTTAATGGACTAGACCGAATTCATGTCAATTAAATTATAATTTATTTATCTTTTATTGTTAAACGTTTATTTTTCATTTGTTATTTAATTATGGAATGAGTCACATTTATTTACAGTGAATTTTAGTGGTGAATATGCAATGAATAATATCGAATTTCCAAAGCATTATGTGTTGAGTACTTTTCTTTTATTATATACTACATATCTTAGCTTTGTCATTTAAATTTTTGTGACAAATGGTAGTCTAATGCATGCTCAATATTTTGGAGCAAAATTGCTCTATTTCCATTTCTGATTTGTGATAATTATTGAATGTTTTTTAAATTGATATCAGTGGTGATTACCAATAAGTTCGTTCTCCCTATGCTGAGTATGCAGTAGTGGCGAATATTTTACTTAGTGTTGGAACTGTGACATGTTGCATTTATTCATTGATTAAGTCAACCAGTTTTTGTTTCCCTTTAATTGGAATTTTCTTATGTTCATTCAAGCATTTTAGTGTAATGCTTAATTCCTGTTCATATTTTTGTAATTTTATTATCCAACAAAGAAATGTGTTACATATATTTCTGTTAATGGTATGTTGATAAATGCTGATATTTTTTTTAATTAAATAAAAATATTCTTTGATAGGAATACCTAATATTTTCTTAATACATAAGCAATTTATCTTTTTTATTTAATATAATGCAAGTTGACATACTTAGCTCAAATACTGTTATTGCAAAGTTTTCTAGGGGAGGCAGGGATATTAAATAATGAAATGTGATTATAATTATAATTTGTTTCATTCATGAATGTCAGTATTAGCAAATAGAATTTTTATTTCCTCGCTCTCTTGAATTCAAATAATGCACACAAAATAATAATAATTCCCCAGTCTGTAATATTTCTCTTTATCCTATCTCTTAATAAAAATTATTTAATATATGCAAGACTAGTTAAATTACTTTCTTAATTTATATTTAACTTAAAGAGTATAATAATTATAATAAGAGTTCCTAGGAATTAAGTCATTATAAGTGAAAAATGTTCCAACCATAGTTTATCATCTCTATTCAGTCTTAAAGAAATAGAATTATAGAAATGTGTATTTGTTTAATGCAAGAATTTTGCCTTCCTTCCTTCCTTTAAAAAAAGGTCATTGAATTGCATCACAAATTTTTACATGTAAAAACATTTTTTAAATGTTAAGCATGAAGGCATTAAACCTTAGCTTAGCAAGTTTTATCAACTTCAATGAAAACAGAAATAATCATAAAATCATATATGTATCATCCAGTGAAGCATATACGGTTACCATCTCATAAATTAAATACTCTCTTTTATAGCCAAAGTTCAGCTTAAACTTGAGTTAGGGAATGATTTTCCATTTCTTAATAAAATCTCATTCTCCTCTGCTGTCAGATTGAAACAGTCATGTAATCAAATGGAACAAGATGTTACATAAGAGTCTGATTAAGAATATTATGCCGATTTACGTATCTTCAATTATGCTTCACTTAATATCAGAAAATTAAGTACCTTTAGCTGAAGACTATAATTATGTAAATAAACAATATTTAGTTAGAATTCCCTCCTTTTTTTTTTAAACATTTATATAAAAATAATAGTGTAATTTCACACAGTATAAATTATAGCCTTAAAAAGTTAAAAGGAATTTGTTTCTGACATTGTTATATTGGCTGCCAAAAACAAATTTGCTCAAGGATTTGCATGAAACAAGTGTTAGTATGAGAAAGGATGAAATCTTTTCATTTTAAAATGTATGCTTAAAATTCCTTGTATGTGTATATATATATAAATGATATAAACTTTTTGATTGCAAATGTCATATTCTTTTATGTTACAAAGTATTTTGCTTTAATAGCATATTTTTGCTAGTAGAAGAATTATTTTAATTTTTATTGTCTCAAGGCTAAAATTATTTGACAATGTTTTTTGCAGTTAAGAAATGGGAGAGGGGATTAATAAATCTTGACTCGCAAGTATCACTATCTAGTCAAGTGAAAAAAGGGTAATATTCAACAGATTATTTCTCGAAATTTTGAAAGCTTTGCCAAAAATTATATGGTGCTATAGTAAAATATTTTGATACATGAAATATTTTATAACATGTTAAATTCATTTTTCTCCTTTTTACAGTGTTTTCTGTTGTAAACGATTTTTTGTATTCCTGGTTTAATCTATGGTTTACACTTTTGTGGCAGCTGCTAGATACGTGTGTTATTCAAAGAAACCCTTGTTAGGCGGGAAAATGTAAATGTGACTAACGCAAGACTTGTGTTGATGCTTTCCATGTTTTCATAGGCACATACTTTATAGCTTTATTTTCTGTAGGCTTTAAAAAAAAAGAGTAGAAAATCAAATATGATTATTAAAAGGTAAATGTCTTTATTTTTGCATATAAGAAAAATAAACTGATTTATTTAAAATTTGATTCATAGATTTAAATTTCATGTAATTTATTGAAAGATGCAATTTTTATTTATTTATTTATTTTTTTAAAAAGTGATAAATCCACTAAACACTTTTGTCAACAAAGCACATACCTACTACTAATTTAAAATATTACCTTTCCATTGCAAGCAATACTTGCAAATCAGATCTTGGTAGTTTCGATGCTGATATTCAAATAATCATCAAAATATTCGTTAAAAAAAAAAAAAAAAAAAAAAGACAAGAAAGACCACTTACCTCTTTAGGTGCCAAACTGTGAATCATAGACTGAGCCAAAAATTCAAACTTGAATCAGTGATTGCTTTTTAAGTACTGTTATGTTGTGTTTCTGAATGAAAATCATCTTTAAATCTATTTGCAATTTCAGATTGTCTCGCATTTGGCAGGTGTGCAGATGGATTTTAATGTTTTTTTTTTTTTTTTCCTTATTTTGTTCAGCTTCTTCAGAATAAAACTATTTTTTGTAATAAAATTATTATGCAAGCTGTTTTGTATTTTAATGAGTTTGTTCTAGATAGAGAGTATTTCAAAAAGAATGAAACTGCTTAACAGATCTAGTATAAAATAAACTACAATAACACATCTACTGAGGTATCTAAAAAACAAAGTATCAAAATTTTACTTATTTTTCAAAAAAAAAAACAAAAA